GAGGATTAAAGTTAACCGGCGCCGCCGACAGGAAAACATGCGTGGTTTGGGCAAATAAAACACAACAAGCGCTTATCAGACCTACTAGATTTTATTTCAAACAACTATCAACCTGAACTGAAGTGAAGAAAAATATATATAAAGGTGTAGTGTAAGATGCATTTGGTTTTGTCACACGAAACGCCGAAAATGGGGTGCGCCCATTGTATCAGTATTTCCCTCACAAGTTTTCAGTTCCCGAGTGGGGCGGTCAGCCACCCGCCCAAAATCAGTCTTATTAGCGTGGGTGTTTAATAACAGGAAATAATCGCCATGTAATATTGGAATATTTTTTGAGCATTTTTGGACCATGGTGTTTCTTTACAGTTTTGTCGCTTGGTTGCTGTGTTGCTGTAGGATGTACCACCCACCAAGTGCCGCCGGCGTGCGTTGCTCGTGGCTTTTGCGGGTCAATGACCTCAGGGAGATGCGTTGTGTTTTAGGAAAACCAGCAGGCAGGGTGACGTTTAATAGAGATTATCATATAGCGGGCGGCTGCATATTAAAAGGAGCCAATTCCTGCAGAAATCGCCGACTTTCGCACCGGTAAAGCCGACCGGGCACGTCGTGTAGCAGAACTCGGACGCATGAAATACGTTACTCACGCGTTACTGTGACGGGTTAGTACCGCGTAAATGCCGCGTACGTACCGCGTGAGTAACGCGTTACCCGTTAATTCTAACGCAAGCTGTACTGTATGAGGAACTCTTGTTACAGTTGTTACACATGTTGGCAAGCATTATTCAGATATAGGACAAAGAGAGACATACTAGACATTTCTAACAGTAAATACAACTGTTACAGTTGTTCTCTGTCTAACTCGGCTCTTACAGTGTGAATGTTCCCAAGTGACACACACAAACCAAAGACTGTTGACATACAACTTTCTGGTCAAGTTGATGATTAAATAAGTAACACTATTGATTTATGCATGACTCAGCGGAAAGACCCAGCAGCAAAACAGGAAATGTTCCCCTTTTAAGTCAAAGGGGAAACCCAGAACTCTCACCAGTACAGGTCATTTTACAACAACAGCTTCTTTCTCCGGACTGCAAAATTATGGAACTCTCTTCCAAACAGCTGCTTTCCGTCCGATTACAATCCACAAAGCTTCAAAACAAAGGTCCACCGCCATCTCCTGACATAACTACATTATACTCACTTAAGTACCTCTAGCTCTATGCCTAGAAGTGGCCAAAAATAATTGGCGTTGCATTGAGCGACACCGTTAAAAAAAAAAAAAGAGGAACAGACAAGTTTCTACCCAGACAGGTTCACAGCTGTGGAGTCCCCAGGTGAGATTTAGTAACGTGACATGTTCACTACACAAGTATGTCCTAAAGTATGTGTAACATTCACAGATCCCAGTGAACCTTAATGTAAACATATCAGGTAACAAAGGGCCTCTTAGTCCCTGGTTACAGGGACTAAGCTACACTACGATACAAAAGACTGGTAACGACTACTAAACATGACTCAATAATGACACCGACGTTGACCCAACAACAAATTCCCCCCCAAAGTGAAAGCCAGTCGGGGAAAAGCCAGAACTCTCCCCAGCACAGGGAGGAACTGTGCAGTCTAGCAGGTTCATAGCAGAACTTCTGTTGTTTCTTTTATTTACCAAGTTTTATACCTGAAACCTAACATAATTGATGAAGCATTTGTGTTCCTGGTTGAAGTACTGATAGTGGCATATACATGTATGATAAAGGAGTGGGGAGGGGGATCTGCTAGAAGCTTAGAACAATTAATTATTTAAGTTGTTCAGTTTGTACTATTGTCTAATGTTGGAACAACAATGGACAGGTATGTATTTTTATCTTGGTTTTTCTGGACCTGTTTTGTTATGGCCAGTGTTTGGTTGTAGCCTTGTTGAGAAGTTTTGGCTCCCAAGTAATTTTCCTATCCTAGGAACTTAAGTAGCCTTTTTGTTGTTTCTACATTGTAAAAGTTTTGTAAAAAATTGTAAGGCTAGCTATTCATAGAGAATCAAGCCAACTCCTGCAGAGTCAGTAATACATTGTGTAGACACACCAAAACGATGTAGCTGACTTTGTGGGGGGGAGGCAAAAATGCACAGTTTCTTAGACAGAAATATATAAACGCCCCCAGAATAATACATCTGTCCTGAAATGTTATTTTTCTGCTTCAATGAAAGGTTATTCTTCAAGCTAACAAGGACAAAATGTCTGAAATCAACATGACCGGGCTGGCAAACAAACTACAGAACTTGGAGTTGTGCCTTAAGAGTCAACATGGACAAGAACTCGGGTATAGTCGGGCTCTGAGAGAAGCCATTCTTAAAAAGGATGACTTCATAGAAGTAGAGGTGCTGAAAAGTCTTGGGGACCTGCGTCTTGAGAAAGCCAGGCTCAGTAAAGATTCAGCAGAGTTTGACAAGGCTGCTGGCCTGTATGCTGCTGCCCTGCTGCGCAGCAAAGATCCAGACTTGGGAGAAACACTGGAACATCGTATCCGCTACCTGGAGAAACTCTCCAGACAACTGCTGCAGGGGTACAGTCCACACTTCCGATGGCTGTCACCAGACTACTGGGGTACTGCTGACAGTAATGTCTTAAGGATATCAGAGATTTGTGACAAACTGAACAGAAGTATCAGAAATTCCTATGAACAGACTTACACAGAAATGTTAGTGACTGCAATTGGGAACAGTGACATGTTCTTGGAGCTTGAGGTTCTCAAATCCTTTGGAGATTTTTACCTCGAGAAAGGCAAGACAACCTCTGATGTATCCCTGTTCTCCAAGGCAGCTGCCATGTACAACAAGGCCCTGACAACATGTGGGGATCCTGAGACAAAACTGACTCTGGAACATCGCATCAAGTACATGGAGAAGACCAGAGAAGCCGTGAAAAAGGTACTAATACATATAAACTGTATAGTTTTGAAAAGTTTTAATAATGATTATCAATAGACCTGGCATTTGACATGTAAAATAAAGATCATCAAGCTATTAGTAATTTCCCTATACCAAGTTTAGATATCAAACAACTATATACATTGTACGACGTGCATGTAGCAAGAACAATCACAGGTCATTATACAATATACATGTTGACAAATGTAGCTTCAATTATACAGAAACCACCACCAAAGAAACATATGAGGCACCAGTCTGGGAACATCACAAGGACTGACACTCAGGAGGACCATCATCTTCCAGATACAACAAGGTGTGGAAAATGTACTAAAGCTTTAAAATGTTAACTTGAGAATGAGCTGTGAATGTTGATGTGTGAAATAGATGACAGACTCCCAACCAAAATCTTTTATTTGAAGGCAGTACCAAAACCACCTTAAGGAAGGAGACTCGTCCTTTGTCAGGGCAGACCTGGACTCAGCAGAGCAGCACTTTGCAGCTGCACTCAAGATGGTACATGAGAGAGGTAAGGGTGAATGAACATAAACCAACTGAAACAAAACATCAATTTTGTCTTAAAGGACAAAATATACTGTAACTTACAGTAATTTGAGTTTTTGTGTCTTTTAACCCAAAATACTATTTGCAAAAGGTGATTCATTGGTTTTTACCAGTCCTGCACACATAGGGGTGATATCTGTATCTGTATAGATATATAACCGCCTTTCGTGTTAACACACCAGCTTGACATCTGACCCAAATCCATGTTCACGTTTGATGACTGCCTATTCCACCAGGAGATTGTGGTGACATCATGGTTCCTATCACTCTAATTAACTGGCCATGAAATCAGTATTCTGTTAACATAAGTACACAAAAGAACATCTCAACAAAAAGAAATTGATAAAGAAAAGCCAGAGGACTAATAATCACCAGGTCCTGAGCATGTCAGCCCTTCTACAATCACGACATTCTTCAATATCTTATTCAAAGGTGTAAATTAGATTAAGAGGCCCCTGGTGGAATAGGCAGTCATGAAATGTGAACATGGATTTGGGTCAAATATCATCCCTACTTGTATGTGTTTGGGACTAGTAGAAACCAATGGATCACCTTTTGCAAATAGGCTTGTGGGTTAAAAGGCACCAAAACTGAAATTACTGTATTTTGTCCTTTAAGAAAGCAATGAAACAAAGAAAAACATTATATGGCATTTGAAGTCTTTGTATATCATCTAATAAAGAAAAGAGCACAAATCTGATCAATGCAATGATTTAGCTTTGACTATTAGTAAAAATTACACTTTGTAGTTTTTCAATTCATTATCAACATCAGTTCATCCATCTTGGTACTCATGAACATTTGATTCATACACACATACTGTATACAGTAGATGGATACACACCTCTACCTAAAACATAACCTTCTTGGCAAAGGTACATTTGTCACATCACATGTGTAACAGTTGTGTTTCCCCTTGGTAAACTGTGTGGACTATAATATTCTTCAACAAAAACTGACATATGAAATGCCAAACTAAGTTGTTTCTCCCCAGATCCCACAGCCCAGCAGTACCAGAGAGAGGTGGAGCCCCTGTGCAAGTTGGGGGATGTCTACAGTAAGCGAGGTCAGCAGACAGGAGAAGGGGGAGACTTTGTCAAAGCAGCAGCACTCTACAATGCAGCAATAGCCAGGTCACAGGATCAAGACCTCAATGGTAATCTAGAAACAAATATTAGAGAAGTAGACAACTTGTTTCTCAAATGTATCTTAGACGTTGATTGTGTTGCTCAAGATAACACAGAAAAGCACATGAAACAGCTGAAGGAGATGCGGGACCAGATCAAGCTGGAGATGGAAACCATTGACCAGCAGCTGGATCCTTATGTACATGATGAGGACAACCCATGTGTCAGAGAGATAGAGGCAAAACGAGCTCAGGCTGTCAGGCAGTTGTTTCAGAATATTGCACAACAAAGGAAGGGGTTCATCAGCCTGCTTGTAGAAGAGTGTATTGGGTTAATGGATCCCCCTCCCTGTAAGTATGCCCTGATAGGTTTGGGTTCACAGGCCACAGGACTGGTAACTCCATACTCAGACCTGGAGTTTGCCATCTTGGTAGAAGAAGAAAGTGAAAAATGCCTTGCGTATTTCCGCAACCTCACCCACTACCTACACCTTAAGGTGGTCAACCTGGGAGAAACCATTCTCCCAGCCCTGGGAATAAAATATCTTAATGACTTCTACTCTGGGAATCCACTTGACGACTGGTACTATGACTCTGTTACACCTCGTGGGTTTGCATTTGATGGTTCCATGCCAAAGGCAAGCAAGACTCCACTGGGCAGGCAGGACACTATGAACAAACCACCCAGTGAACTCATCTGCACCCCAGAAAACATGGTTTCAAAACTACAAAAGGATGTCACACTATACCTGAAGGAAGGATATCACCTTGCCACCATCTTGAGAAACCCATGCATGATAGCAGGGGACCAGGATTTGATTGACACATACATGAACATCACAGGGAAGATACTGCAAGCTGATGGGGGTAAAATGGCCCAACAACTTTCACAAGAGATACGGAAGGAAAATATGGAAAGGTTCAACAATCAGGACACAATAATACCCGCAAGGCTGATTGATGTAAAGAAAGAAATCTATCGCTTCCCAGGTTTAACAGTGGACTGCTTGGCACTGTCTTCAGGCATCATACCTACCACAGTTTGGGAGACAATAGAAGAAATGGGAAACCAACAAGTGATCAGTCCCAACAATGCACACCACCTGACAGTGCTTACCAGCATCTCAGCAGAACTCAGGCTCAGAACATACATTGCAAATGGTGGGCAGAAGGAAAACTTGTCAGCTTTGGCTTCAATGGAAACAACAATATATAGACAGGATACATCCGTACTGACCAACAATGACACAAGTTCATTAATACCAGTTTTCCATGTACCAAATGACCAACAGCTTTTCAGGTTCTATTATACAGCAGTTCCTCTGAAAAGTGTTCTGCAGGAATGGTCTGAAAAGAAGTCTGTTCTTAATTCATTCCCTGGTTTATATGACAATTCCACAAAGGTACAAGGAGAGATGTACACTGAGTTATGCAAATTTGAGCAGGCCATCAGCTGCTATCATAAGGCCCTAAAGAAAGCTGATGGCAATGACACAGAAAAAATGGACCTGCTGAATAGTATTGGAGTTGCTTATCACAGGGTGGGTGATTACAGGAATGGAGTCAGTTACTTTGAACAGGCACTGCAAATGAGGAGGAGAATCTATGGCGAGGGTACAGCACATCCCAAAATTGCTACCTCACTCAACAACCTGGGATCAGCCTGGGGTCGCCTGAGTGATTACAGCAAAGCAATTGGCTACCATGAACAGTCACTGCAGATGTACAGGAGTATCTATGGTCAGGCTAAAGCACATCCTGCCATTGCCAGCTCACTCAACCAACTGGGGACATCCTGGAGCCACCTGTGTGATTACAGGAAAGCTATCTACTACTTTAACCAGGCACTGCAGATGAGTAGGAGTATTTATGCTCAATATACAGCACATAATCGCATTGCCATGTTACTCAACAATCTGGGGTCAGCCTGGAATGACCTGTGTGAGTACAAGAAAGCAATCAGCTCCTATGAACACGCACTGGAAATGTTCAGGAAAATCTATGGTAAGAGTACAGCACATCCTGACATTGCTACCTCACTCAATAACCTGGGGAGCGCCTGGCATTCATTTGGTGATTACAGCAAAGCAATCAGCTATAATGAACAGGCACTGCAGATGTACAGGAGTATCTATGGCCAGACTAAAGCACATCCTAGCGCTGCCACCTCACTCAACAACCTGGGGTCAGCTGCAGGTAAACTGGGTGAGTACAGGAAAGCAATCAGCTACCATGAACAGTCACTGCAGATGAACAGGAGTATCTATGGTCAGACTACAGCACATCCTGACATTGCTAGATCACTCAATAACCTGGGAGGTGCCTGGGGACACCTGGGTGATCACAGGAAAGCAATCAGTTACTATGAACAGTCACTGCCGATGTACTGGAGTATCTATGGTCAGGGTACAGCACATCATGGCATTGCCATGTCACTCAACAATCTAGGGGGTGCCTGGAATAACTTGAAAGATCACAGGAAAGCAATCAGCTACTATGAACAGGCATTGCAGATGCAAAGGAGAATGTATGGTAAGAGCATGGCACATTCTGACATTGCTGAGTCACTCAACAACCTGGGTGTAGCCTGGCACCACCTGGATGATCACAGGAAAACAATCAGCTACCTTGAACAGGCACTGCAGATGCGCAGAAGTATCCATGGACCTAGTACAGCACATCATGACATTGCCATGTCACTCAACAACCTAGGATCAATCTGGAGTAACCTGGGTGATTACAGGAAAGCAGTCAGCTACCATGAACAGGCACTGCAGATGAGAGGTAGTGTCTATGGTAAGAGTAACATACATCCTTACATTGCAGGCTCTCTCAACAACCTGGGGAAAGCCTGGTACCACTTGGGTGATTACAGGAAAGCAATCAGATACCTTGAACAGGCACTTCAGATTTACAGGGTTATCTATGGTGAGACTGCGGCACATCATGACATTGCCTTACTACTCAATAACTTGGGTTCAGCCTGGAATGACCTGTGTGATTACAGAAAAGCAGTCAGTTTTTATGAACAGGCAGTGCAGATGTACAGGAATATCTATGATAAAGGTACAGCACATCCTGACTTTGCCACTTCACTCAGCACATCCTGACATTTACACCTTACTCAATAACCTGGGGGAAGTCTGGGGACACCTGGGTGACTGCAGGAAAACAATCAGTTACCATGAACAGGCACTGCAGATGTGCAGGAGTCTCTATGGTCAGGGTGCATCACATCCTCACATTGCTATCTCACTCAACAACCTGGGAGAAGCCTGGTACAAACTTGGTGATAACAAGAGAGCACTCAGTCTCTGCCAAGAATCCTTGGCAATGGCAAAGCAGGTTTTCCCTCAAGACAAACATCACCCAATGATAAAGAAACTTGAACAAAACATTGGTGTGTTCAGTGCTAATGCATTATGAATCACTCATTGTCAGGTAATTAGATACAAAATAATATACTTGTTATCTTATGACTATCATGTACATATCACAGCCACTACAACTAACAACTGACCATATCTAAGAATAAGTACAACTAGAAAGGCCAATATTTGCTTTGGAGCAAATACAGCGATGGGTTCACCACATTTTACGACATGGCAGGGAAAGAATGAGAAACACAAGGGAAAACAATGATTTACATTGATATAACTATAATATGAAGTAACATACAACTAAAACAACAGTTGGATAGCTATTCCCTACTTTATTGGTTAGGATTTTTAATTGCATAATGCAAACTGTTGATTTTCAAAATAAAAAAAAACGTTCATGCCCCGCATTCCAATGCTGGAGCAGAAAAGCTTGAAATACCTACCAAAACACTTGAATAAAGACATACTGTCAGTATGGAAATCCCAACAGCCAATCAGCAAGAAATGCTCTGTGCAGGTGGAAATGCTCTGTGCAGGTGTTAATCAAGTTAAATCCCAACAGCCAATCAGCAAGAAGTATAGAGGAAAGCTGCATGCCTATTGGTTGATGCCCTGCATTCCATTGTGATGACTCATGCCCAGACGTGGTAAACACGGCACACTAACACAGTACATTTGCTATAACACAGCCAAAAAACTCAAATAAAACCATTCTAAAAGCCTGTATCACAAAAATTTAAAAAACGCCTAGGGGTATTTGCCCACTGTACCTCCATACCAAATTTCAGGACCTTAGGCCCTAAAATGAAGAAGCTGAATCCATTTAAAAAATGGCAGGAGAAGAAGAAGAAGAAGAGGAAACATCAGAAAAAGCAATATGGGTTCACCACCACTTCGTGGTGTGGTGAACCCATAATGAAGAATTGAATACATTGCTTCATATCCCCAATTAACTTGAAACTTGAAAACTTAATTAACTTAAAACTTATGAAAATTCAAGCAAATAATGCAAGACATATTTAAGAGTAACAAATTTTTCATTTATATGATAATTAATAAGCTGATACTTCGTACCTGTGATGAGGTAAGTAATTGTTTCCAAAAAATGCAGTTGATAATACATTGAGGGGTGACATAAGGCAAATAAAAGGGAAGCTTTTTGACTTATACAAACAAGACTGGGCAACCAAAGTACATTTGAAGCCTAAACTTAGAACATATGCTCTGCTTAAAGATACTTACTGTATAGAAAAATGTGTAACTATGTGTCTCCCCAAATGCCAAAGATCACTGTGTGCGCAGCTGCGAGCTGGTATTTTACCTATCAATATTGAAACTGGACGGTACCAGGGAATACCTGAGGAAAATAAAATCTGTTCCATGTGTGACCTGGATGTAGTAGAAAACGAAACACATTTTCTTTTTTACTGTCCCTTTTATGACGATCTTCGAGAAAATATGTTCCGTAAAATTTATACAAAATCACCTGACATCATATGGGAAAGAGATGAAAGTGGCTCTTTAACGAGGGTGTATCTGACAAAGCAACTTTCATTTATCGAGCGTGGGGGAAAAGAAGAAAATACCTGTATTCATAACACATCAACAGTTGTCACTTTTTGTTACTTCTGCACGTTTGTTTTCTCTTATTATGTTATGTACTTGTATTTATTTTGTGAGGTCTTGGTTCATTATGTACAGATTTGTTTATTTGCATTTACGATCTGTTATGAGGTCACTTTGTTCACCATTGTATATGGCGTACCTTTATTTGTGTTCATATTTTGTTTGGATTCTGTTATCTGTACCTTTGATTCTCTTTTGTTTATATATAACTTATTGAATCGGTGTCGTATAAGCCCACACGGGCTGGGCGCGGGAAAGCGCACGACACGAAAATAAAGTCACATTCATTCATTCATTCATTCATTCAATCAATCATTCATTCATTCATTCATTCATTCATTCATTCATTCATTTATTTGTATGACACAAGAAATCATTTGAGGCGGACCAAGAAGTGTCCCAATTTTAATTAGTTCTACAGTAGGATTGGGTCTACCCAAACACTAAGGAATAAAATTTCCAGTAATGGTCATTTCTATTTCATGTCTGTGCAAGTTTTAATTAAATTTCCTGCAATTTCTAAAGATTACTCCTTTGCAGTGTAAATATCTTGCAGATCTGTCCAAAGTTAACACTTTTAGTCCTGGAGACTACACCGTGTCTACACCTGTACATACCAACCAGTGTAAATATAGAAATCTCTAAAAACAGCCACAACACAAACAGTCCCTCCCATCTAGTCAACTGCCATCGGGTAACAATTTTGACCCAAACATAGCAGATGTCGTTAAGTAAAGATATTGAAACATAATTCAATCTCAAAAGTAATGAGCTGCAGCAATCCAATGACCCACATGTGTCCTTACCTGCTGCAGACATCTGACCTTACCAACAAGAATTGTTGCATTTCAATACATTTCAGTCCAAAAAAAGTCTGCTAAAGGACCAGGTTTTGGAATACAAAAGGCATTCAACTTGGTTGAATTCTAAATCATGGCACAGCTGGTCAAAGACTTGGAATGTGCCATAAAGTGGTCAACCACACAGCCAAGCACCCAGAGTGCTGTTTCGGAATGTTTTGGAGTGCAACAAGAATATAGTTACGCCGTATGTATAGTGTGAGTAGATGACACCTCACAGTCAGGGATGCCGCAGCCTGACACCTAAATGTCTCACCTGGTGAAGATGTCCTCCAAGGTCAGGTAAGTTCTTTTTCTTTGGTCACTGTACACAACTCCAAACCTATAAGACACAGAGAAGACTTAAGTTTAACTTAAAGGAAATACATATTGAAGGTCCACTAGGTAGAAGCCTCTGACTGATCTTGTATTTTGATTTATGATTTCACTGTAACGTTTAATCATTTTTTTTATATTACATTGATTTCTGTATGGGCTCCCTTGGAAATCAGCCCCAAGGGGCTGAAGGGATCACCCATGTGTCTTCAAGATAAATAAATACTAAACAAATCAAGCCACTGTATAGATTCTCTGAACAGTCAGACCTTTCAGATTCTCTGAGCCACTGCTTTAATGGAAGTATTTTAACTTTACGCTCTAACTTTATCGACCTTTGAATCGAAATGTAGCTTCGTTCTGACCATCGATATTAAGAATCGTAAGTTGACTATAGCAGCCAGCAAAAAATTTCGAGATTTTTTTTGGAAAAAATTAAAACATCTCGAAATTTGTTTTAAAAAATCGCGAGATTTTCAACATTTTTTAAAAATATCGGATGTAAGTGACATGTATTGTTGCTAATATGTAGTCGGAAGTTGGCTATAGCAGCCAGCAAAAAATATCGAGATTAAAAAAAAAAAACATGAAAAATCTAAATTCCGCGATGACAACAATCTCGAGATTTTTTTAGTTTTCAATGAACCGTGTTAGCCTGGGTGCCATCCCCAGTAGTATATTCGCCAGCTCTATAACAGTTATAGAGCTGGCGAATATACTACTGGGGATGGCACCCAGGCTAGAACCGTGTAGGGTGTCATAGGGAAATTTAAATTAATGATCCATCGTGTAACATAGAACCTTTCCGCAAAACATATCGGATGTAAGTATTGTGAATTGTTGCTGACAGGTAGTGGGAAGTTCGCTATAGCAGCCTGCAAAAAATCTCGAGATGTCTTGAAATATCTAGTAGAGATTCAGAAAAGATCTCGAGATTTTTTTTTGAAAAACACACACACACACACACACACACACACACACACACACACAAACTATGAGAGGTACCGTACGAGAAGAGCACGTCGGCAGAACGTACTGCGCCTGCGCAGAACCCCGTATTTTCGCGTTTTTCGTTTGATTTTTGGTCAACGTTGCATCAGAATTTTGCCTGTTGCAGAGGATATTCTTTCCTACATAACATTTAGAAACTACTGTCGAAATGCTAACCTTATATGAGCGAATACAACCTTAATTGAGACATTCTGCCGAAATGCTATGTACAATACATTACGGGTTTCGCGCAGGTGCAGTACGTTCTGCCGACGTGCTCGTACGAGATGTATATAGGTGTGTCGTAACGTGTGTGTCGTAACATAGGTGCGGCGTAACATATAGCCGACCGCAAATGATCATATCTCAGTAGTTATAAATGCACACAAGACGGACGCCAGTAACCCCGCGGGTTTAAAAGCCATTGGACCGTACCTCTAGTTGGGGGGATTAGAAACGGCAGGATTGTGATCAAAATTATAAAACTTCATTTGAAGGCTCAATTGCAAGGATTGTCAATAGTAGTCAAAATAGAAAACAGGTATCGACTGTAGGAATTACACTGGGGATAACTTCGAATTCGCGTTACCACCTCCCTGTACACGCACTACTGCCGACTGCGGCATCGTGAAATAAATCGCCCTCTACTCAAAGGCGACTGTATTTGAGGTTATATCATTACTATACTATAATCTAATCTCAAAGCGCTGGCTTTCGGAACATAGAGATTTCGGAACATAGGAGTGTCCCCGTCGTAACATAGGTCGCAACATAGGTGCGTCGTAGCATAGATGCGTCTTAACATTCCTTAAAGAGCCGTCCCCCATTCGGTTGAATGTCATCCACAGTAGATTCACATTGTCTTGGGTCAGGTCATCTGCACAAAATATAAACAAACAAGCAAACAAACAAACAAACACCATCATGAGTCCACACATACTGAATGTCATCCACAATAGATTCATATAGTCTTAAGGTTAAATCATCAAGACACTTTTTAGGGATGGTGGTGGGGGCTTACAGACGTAAATTTCTCTCTCTCTCTTTGCTATGCTATGGAGGCTAACGTTCAATAGATAATATCAGTGGAAACGGTATACTGTATACAATTGTACAGGTGCCAATATACCCACCAGACATGACAACAGTCTAAAGCTAAAGCTGCCTTATTCACATAAAATTGACCTGTTTATTGTCGTTTCTTCGTTTTGAGTATAGAAATCTGACCTGATAGAAAATACATGTTTCTAAGTCCGGTTTCATTTTACAATGGTAGTCCATACAAACCAAAATTTTCCAATGAACGCAGTTAAAACGTAACCAGACCCAGCTTCAAATACATTTTTGTACATCAAAGTGGTCCCGATCACGTGCACACGTATGTAGGTTGCTTTCACTTTTAATCATTACATCATTTGGAATATTCCCGTGTTTTTAGTTTAGCACAAAAACATGTTGAAAATTCCTATACAATCATTTTTATATCGTACCATGGTCGTGAGAACATCAGGAAATCCCGCACAGTGTAATTTGTAGAAAGATATGAAAGAAATCAATTCACTACTACTACCCCTACGTTTCAAAGTGAGCACGTCGGGGGTGAAGGGTCACCGTCAACATGGCGGCGAACATGGCAAAATTTCGGCTATCGAAGTGTTTGAAGATAGTTGGAGAAAATAGAGTGTTTCCGCGTAGTTTTAGAAGTCGTCACTTGGCCAAATGGCAGACAGAGGGCACGTCAGGCGTGAGATGGGCCCACACCAGCCCGTGGACGGACGGGGGGAGAGTCAGCGAGGTCAGCGTGGAAGTCGGAGACAAGTAAGTTTTGACATGTGCATGTGCGCGATGTTATTTCTTGTCGTTTGTCGTACTTCATCTAATGAAGGATCAGCATCATGACCATATTTCTGTCATCGTATGAGATCCATACTCTTTTCTTATAGTCACTAAGCAATCATAGTCAACAAT